TTGCATAAAGTATTATTGTTGACATTGCCCTTGAGGTAAAAGGTTGGGAGGCAAAACTATAAGCCCCTATCTTTCTCTATGTCCAATTGAAACTTTGTACCCATAAGTATCGCGTGAGTGTTAGCAATTGTGAAAGACTAAATGATAGTTTAGTATGTGGACTTGCTGAAAAGCTCTTATATTGACTCTTTCCGATGTTATGATAAATTGCAATTGCTTCAATGACTGAGATCATAGTTTGTTAGTTTTCACTGAAGTTTCTGATTCATACTTTACCTTGTGAATGGATTGTTACTTTAGCATAAGAAATCATATGACAATATATGTTGGTGTTCTAAAGATGATCATGATGCCCTCATGACTGTATTTTATTCTATTGACACATCTTCTCTAAACATGTGGACATATTTTTCGATATCGACTTTCGCTTGAGGACAAGTGAGGTCTAAGCTTGGGGCAGTTGATACGTCCATTTTGCATCATGCTTTTACATCAATATTTATTGCATTATGGGCTGTTATTACATGTTATGTCACAATACTTATACCTTTTCTCTCTTATTTTATAAGGTTTACATGAAGAGAGAGACTGCCGGCAACTGGAATTTTGGACTAGAAAAGGAGCAAATATTAGAGACCTATTCTGCACAACTCCAAAAGTCCTGAAACTTCACGGAGATCAGTTTTGGAATCTATAAAAAATATTGGGCAAAGAAAGCACCGGAGGGGGGCACCAGTCAGCCACGAGGGTGGAGGGCATGCCCTACCCTCCTGGGCGCGCCCCCACCTTGTGGGCCCCTTGACAGGCCCCCGACTCCCATCTTCTGCTATATGGTGTCTTTTACCCTGGAAAAAAATCATAGAGAAGCTTTCAGGATGAAGCATTGCCGTCTTGAGGCGGAACCTGGGCAGCACCAATCTAGGGCTCCGGTGGAGCTGTTCTGCCGGGGAAACATCCCTCCGGGAGGAGGAAATCATCGCCATCATCATCACAAAATCGATCCTCTCATCGAGAGGGGGTCAATCTCCATCAACATCTTCACCAGCACCATCTCCTCTCAAACCCTAGTTCATCTCTTGTATCCGATCTTTGTCTCAAAACCTCAGATTGGTACCTGTGGGTTGCTAGTAGTATTGATTACTCCTTGTAGTTGATGCTAGTTGGTTTATTCGGTGGAAGATCATATGTTCAGACCCTTTATGCATATTAATACCCCTCTGATTATGAGCATGAATATGCTTTGTGAGTAGTTACGTTTGTTCCTGAGGACATGGGAGAAGTCTTGTTATAAGTAGTCATGTGAATTTGGTATTCGTTCGATATTTTGATGAGATGTATGTTGTCTTTCCTCTAGTGGTGTTATGTGAACGTTGACTACATGACACTTCACTATTGTTTGGGCCTAGAGGAAGGCATTGGTAAGTAATAAGTAGATGATGGGTTGCTAGAGTGACAAAAGCTTAAACCCTAGTTTATGCGTTGCTTCGTAAGGGGCTAATTTGGATCCATATGTTTCATGCTATGGTTAGGTTTACCTTAATTCTTCTTTCGTAGTTGCGGATGCTTGCAAGAGAGGTTAATCATAAGTGGGATGCTTGTACAAGGAAGGACAGTACACAAGCACCGGTCCACCCACATATCAAATTATCAAAGTAACAAACACGAATCATATGAGCATGATGAAAACTAGCTTGACAGTAATTCCCATGTATCCTCGGGAGCGCTTTGCTTTATATAAGAGTTTGTCTAGGCTGGACCTTTGCTACAAAAAGGATTAGGACACCTTGCTGCACCTTGCTACTTTTGTTACTTGTTATCCGTTCCGAATTACCTTATCACAAAACTATCTGTTACCGATAATTTCAGTGCTTGCAGAGAATACCTTGCTGAAAACCGCTTGTCATTTCCTTATGCTCCTCGTTGTGTTCGACACTCTTACTTATCAAAAGGACTATGATAGATCCCCTGTACTTGTGGGTCATCAGCGTTTGGTGCGTGGCGGCGACTCAACTTCTTCGTTGGTTTCCGAGTCATCGATGTCGTCTTCACTATCGTCAGCATATTCGATGTCGGCGCTCCCTCCCTCGCTTTCCGCTCCTTCAACAAATTGTTCCCCATTCAGAACAGGCGAGTACATCTTCGTGAATGCCTGCAAGATGCAGATTTAAAGTTCAATCGAATTCCAATACAGTTGCATGTTGAAAACATAGATGATTCACTCGACAAGTTATGTCTCACCTCTCCTGGTGGATGCTCGGCATCAAAGGGCAGGATTCATTTGGCGTCGCGCGGGTTGTCGCGGGCCCCGGTGATGCTCCAAAGCCTCTGGGCCACGGTATCCTCATCAACTTATTTCGGATGGGTCCTGGAGGTGTCATCTGCTCCCGAATACAATCACATAGGGTGATCTCGTGCTTGCAGAGGCTGAATGCGTCTACTGAGGTACGCCTCGAGCAGATCCAAACCCATCACTCCACCATGGATCAGTGCAACGACTGCATCGACCAAGATCGCCACCTCGCCCTTCTCCTCCTCATCAACAGTCAATGAGCGAGGACCTTTGAGTCTCTCCATAGAGAAAGAGGGAAGACCAGTCGGTGCACCAGGAGTTGGGATGTCTTTGTAGTAGAACCAGGTCGACTGCCACCCTCTAACTGACTCGGGAAAGGTCATGGGAGGAAAGGCACTTCTACCCCTCATTTGAACACCTAAACCCCCGCACATCTGGATCACATGGATTTTTGCGTCACTCGGATTAGCTTTTTTGACCAACTGGGATCGGCAAGTGAAAATGTGCTTGAATACCCCCCAATGAGGATAGCATCCCAGGAAGTTTTCGCGCATAGAGACAAAGGCAACAAGATACGATATAGTGTTCGGAGGGAAGTGATGGATTTCTGCACAAAGAAATTCAAGAATCCACGAAAGAACGGATGCGGAGGCAAAGAAAAACCTCTTTCCACATGGGTAAGGAGAAGAAGTTCGGATTCTCCCTCCGACAGCCTCCAGGATCCGGGGGCCAGCAGACCATCGGCGATGAGCCCCTCAAGGTTGTCCACCGTAACCAACGAGGGGATCCAATCGCCCTGGATCCACCCTGGCGGTAGAGCAGAACGCAAGCTAGGCCCCTTCTTCCCCTTCGCCACCTTCTTGGCCTGCTCCAACGCCTTCGTCTTGTCCTTTGCCATCCCGCGGTGGTCGACGGGAGCAATGAGGCGGCGCTGCACTGAGATGGTTGGAGCACAGAGACGGGAAAGAAAGGGGAAAGGTGGTGGGCACTGTTGCACGTGTCGGCCACATCGACTTATATATTCAAATGATCGAGTGGCTGACTTGTGGGCCAGCGCAATCTATAGAGCATCCCACAGCTGACGTCGGCCTGATACGTGGCGAAAAAGGTGGTGCGAGGATCGATGAGTCACTCCTCTTTCGCCCCACTAACCGCACTGTAGGCGGCCTGCACGCTTCTCCAAATTTCTAATCCCGCAAAATCTGGGCCAGGCAAACCAATCGATCGCGTCAGGGATACCCATTGGACCATGCCCTGCTACTTGTTTCACTTGGATGACTAGCAAATGGGAATCGATCGAGACGACTGGCAAAGGCTGAACAGCTCAGATACCTACGGATCACTAAAAATGACTCTGAAGCATTAAGTCAGATCCGGATCAACTTCAGTCCTTTTGCACTCGATCCCCGATCCGTTCGGGGGCTAATGACGAGGACATGTACCTAGGGTAGGGTCCTAGACCTGACCTATATGCCCTACCCAAGGACACTACACAAGAGGCCAAGGCCTACAAAGATAGAAAGAAGATATCGAGTAGAATCATCACAGGGTGCAATCCACTCGATGGAAGATCCACTCGGATACCCCAATTCCACTCGACCGTCATTATTCACTCGGAAGACTAGAATTTACTCGAAGGTCAGAAGGCCTAGAGTCACCTCTGAATGGTAACGGTCGGGCATTCACTCCGTAGCCTTAAAGTTCATTAAACACGGGTGTTACCAGTGACGTTCGTAACATTATTCTCTTATTGAACCCTTGTGTAACTGAGGACTGCAAGGGGTCGGCGCACTCTATATAAGCCATCCCTCCCCTTAGGCACAAGGCCCCGCACCCCATGTAACTCAACACTCCAATCAACAAAGCCTCCGAGGCACCGACACGTAGAGTTGTTACCTCCTCCGAAAGGGGCCTGAAGTCGTAAAACCAAGTGTACAACCTCGCCGTAGCTAGACTCTGCCCTTTCCTACGTACCCCCTATCTCTACTGTCAGATTTGTTCCCATGACAACAGGCGTAACACAGTTCCAGATAGATGCTCACATCACATTTAGCATTTAGGTAATCGTTTCGTCATGCAACAGTACAAATGATTGTAGTCACTCTTGAGAAAATAGTGATTGGTCTTGCTTTTAGAAATCTCTTCAACTCCACAAGGACGTTAGCGAGGCCGGAGACCTTGTCTGTCCCGTGTGTAAACAAGTTTTACCTCATGCATTATGTGTCACTTCTATGAGCACCCTTCTCAGCGAAATGAATTACGCATATGTAAATAAAGTCTTAATTCTCTTGTCACTCTTTTATTGAAACAAGATGGCAACTGAGCATCATAGATGTGTCATTTTATTTTATTTATGGCACAACCAAATTTCAGAAAAACTACAATGGATAATCGATGTCGATCTTTCTTTTTTTGTTTCTTCGATCATCCGATCTTTGCATGAAGCTGATTTATTAGTCGAGGAATGGATAATCGGTGTAGCCCCCGACAGGGTCAGAGGTATAGAATGTCATCCTGTCATAGTCATTAAGCGGCGCACTGAGCTCAAACCTCCGTGGTAGGTCTGGGTTTGCCAGGAACAACTGCCCATAAGCAACCAGGTCAGTGTACCCCTCGCGGACCACCTTGTTCCCCTCCTCCCGGTCTACCCTCCGTTGGCGATGAAGGTGCCATTGAAGGCCTCCCTGAAGGGCAACAGACAATGCGGGACCTAGCGTCGGCCATCGACATGCGCCATCCTTGGCTCGATCATGTGGCAGTAGAGGATGCCATAGTCATTGAGCTTGTTGACGAGGTGGAGGGCGAGAGCCTGAGGGTCCGAGTCATGGCAGTCCATGTAGTCGGTGAAGGGAGACAGACGGATGCCCACGCGGTGGCCGCCCACCTCCCCGACGACGGCGTCCACCACCTCTAGCGCGAAGCGGCATCGGTTGTCGAGGCTGCCACCGTACTCGTTGGTGCGGTCGTTCGCGCTGTCCTTGAGGAACTGATCAATGATGTAGCTATAGGCACCGTGGATCTCAACACCGTCGAACCCTACATGCATGCACACAGATCAGCCTAGGGTTGCTTGGACAGAGTATGATTGATGAACTCTAGTAAGTAGTAGTACATGAATAACCGACAAAGTGAAGTAGTATTGGTAAGTAATAGGTACCAGCTGCGATGGCGTTCCTTGCAGCTTTTCTGAAGTCATCGACCACATTGGGTATCTCGTCCTTTGCGAGACTCCTCGGCGGCGAGAACTCCTCGAGACGACCATCGGCGCTCATCTGAGGACTAACCTGCTTGTCGGTGCTCGATATCGGCGCCTGCCCATTTGGTTGTAACTCTACATATTTTCGAACAATCAACAAAAAAAATCAAACATACTATTACAACCAAACATACTTGAAAAATCAGGAGGAGATAGTAGAGTCATTACTATAGTTTGAGACGCGTCCGGCGTGCCATATCTGGCAGAAGAAGAGTGCACCCTTGGCGTGCACGGCGTCGACCACGGGTTTCCACGCGTCGACCTGCTCCTCCGTCCATACGCCAGGGGCGTCCTTGTACCCCTGCGCCGTGTCCGACACTCCGGTCGCCTCCGCGATGAGCAGCCCGCCCTTGGTTGCCCGCTGCGCGTAGTACACCCTTGCGTGTGGCTGTGGCACGTTGCCGTAGGACCGTTGCCTCGTCAGTGGTGCCAGCACAACCCTGCACCAACACGGTATGGATGAACAAGGTTGCACGACTTTCAGCCGGGTGCATCCAAACCATGTCCCCATCAAGATTGACGGATTTTTCTTTTTTGCTGATATATCAATATTATTTCAAGCAGATTTGGTCAAAAAATTTAAAAATCAATTTAGGAAATTTTGCATGAAATTTGCAGACACATACAATTTGGTAATCCTCGTCGAAGCTCAATGAAATTTTCAGGGGGGGAAAATCCAGACGCATGTGCATGATCGATCTATCATCAGAATAACAAGAAAAAGACCCGCAAAAAAATGAAGAACAAGAAAAAGAAATTGAGCTACGATGGCATGAATGGAAACTGTGCTGACTGGTTGCAATGCCTGTGCGAGAGGTCGAACTGGCCCATCTTGTGCGGCGTCAGGAGAGGAGGCGCCGGCGTGGACTCCATGGATTGATGGATATTGGTTCCTGTGGGCTGTGGCCGAGTGAATGATGTGTGATTGGCAGGTTGGTTTCGAGTGAGTGATGGAGTGCTGTGGAGGTACTCATTTTATAGAGCGGATGCGATCATACGAGGTACATATATATTAAGATAAGAATACGATGCGATGGTGCATGGAGGGACCCGGCCGGGCGTTAATTAAGCTAGGTGAAAGCTCCTTTCTGCGCCTGGGCCCCCGACGGCTGCTAAGCGCACTTTGTCTCGTCCCTTATATATAAACTAGAAGAACACCCGTGCGTTGCAACGGAGTCACATTAACTTTAAGAGTTCAATATCAATTATGTTAATATTACATTTAATATTCTCATACATATCAAGTGACATTGACGACCTTTTTACCATCAAATTCTCACACACACTCTCTCCCTCCCTCCTCCTCACTCTCTCTCCCCCCTCCCTCTCTCTCTCTCTCTCTCTCTCTCTCTCTAACACACACACATATCCATCTTATTGGGTACGGGGCAATAATCCATCTATTTCACACGCACACGCGCTAGTGTATAACAATATGGATTATAAACAGGTTCAAGGTAGTAACAAGGATTCTTCTCATGCATTAATAAACAAATGTTCTGCACTGAAGACAAGATAATCAAATCCCAAAGTGCATCAGAGCATCACAGAACATTACTGGCAAGATAAATGCACGACGATACACCCGACTCATTTAATTAATATAATTAAATTATCAGTAAATTAGTCACCAAACTGCTCGGATGAACCGGAACAGAGCCAACATATATCATCCTAGACAAACGCAACATCAACCATTTACCTTGGTACTTTAGGGACCGACGGGAGGATGCATGTAGAAGCGCTTCTTGCCTGCGAATCCACAGTCAGAGAGAGAAATTGGAACCCATTCCCATCACCAACTGATAAAGAAAGCATGTAAGAAAATTGATATCGGGCCAACTTGGATCTTCGGTGATTGTCCGCCGGTATGGAGAATTTAGGAGGGTGGGTGCAGGGAGTGGCCTTTGTGGATGATGGATGGAGGCGCGGAGGGATGTGGTCACCGGAAGGTCGAAAGCGGAGAGGGTCGGGCACGTTAGGTGGAGCCGGTGGTGCGCGACAACCGGAGGCGGCCCAATCGTGGGCGGCGAACCGACGATAGCCTCGGCCCATCTCTCGACGCAGCGAAGATAGAGAGGGCGGCACTGCCGGTGCTCGAGGCCGCCGCTCGGCACCATCTACATCGAGGGGAAAGAGATGCGAGAAAGCGATAGGGTGATGCGGGGCTAGGGATTGCGGAGGAGGGTGGGGGTGTGCGATTTGAATGGATGGTTCTGCCCACCGTTTTCTTGTACGTGGCGGTGGAGACGGCGGCGTCCAGCTATGCAGGCGAGGGATGGGTCGAGCCAGGCACACGGCGAGGCGCAGTAGCAGAGGCGGGGGCGATTTTTTGCTACTGAGATGCAGGGTGTGGGATTGATCGTTCATGTTCTCTTTTCCTTTTTAACGGGAGATAGATGCGATTTTTTCACGAGGGGAAAGATGCGACCACGTACAGATTCCATAATAAATTAATTAGGTCCATAACGGGATTTCTTTATAATGCGTTAAGATTTACGTGTTAGTTTTCTTAATAAAGAAATGCACTGATGTAGGGATCGATTGATTCGGATAAGGAAAGATAGATTCGTGATCTTTTGTAGGTTAGGAAATTAGTGGTTTGCAAGGAAAGAGTGGAGAGAAAAAGAACCAATGCGACCACGTATAGATTCCATAATAAATTAATTAGGTTCATAACGGGATTTATTTGCAATGCGTTAAGATTTACGTGTTAGTTTTCTTAATAAAGAAATGCACTGATGTAGGGCGCGATTGGTTCGGGTAAGGAAAGATAGATTCGTGATCTTTTGTATGTTAGGAAATTATTGGTTTGCAAGGAAAGAGTGGAGAGAAAAAGAACCAGTACGAGGGGGTGGTGGGAGGTGGGACGAATAAAAACCGGACGAAATTGGGAGGTGGGAGGGAGCGAGTAAAAACCAACGAAAAAAACCAACAAAATTGGGAGGTGGGAGAGAGGATGAAAAAAAACCAGGGGAGGTGGGAGGAGGACAAAAATAAACCGTACGAGGCTACCAACTGCTCCATTAGGAGTAGAGATTGTTTGTGAAAATAACATGCGACGACGACTTAGCGAGCGGATCCCCTTAAAAAAGACATAGCGAGCAGATTCCCTTAAAACTGGTAGAAATGGATACGATTGATGACATTGATAAATAGTGGTGAATGTTGGCATAATTTACTATCGTCATGCATGGAAACGAATCATCAAGAAAAAGAATAATTCCTATTACTACACTCATAGGAAGCTTCCTAATCTCTGCTACCAAACAGTTTTTGCCCAAATAAGGAAGGAAAGTTATGGACGTGATTCGAAAGGAAACAAACGTTATGAAGATTAATTAATTTAGATTTGATCTTTAGAGATTCATTGTGATTGATTCTTTTACATAGAGACATTACTAAATAATTTGCGTCAGTATTGAAAGTTCTGATCCGTTCAGTTTTTTTTCGTTGTGTGAGAGGGTGAAGTGAAAATAAACCGATGAAGTGGGGGAGGCGACGAAAAAAATCTACGACAGTTAACCTACGAAAAAAACCCGGACGAAAGTGGTGGGACGAAAATTGACCGGCGAAGACTATCAACTGCTCCATTAGGAGTAGAGATTGGTTGGTTCGATTTTTTTGCGTGGAGGGAACTACCTGGGAGGTGGGAGGGAGTACGAAAATAAACCGTCTCGGCTGAGCGGGAGGTGGGAGCAAGTACCAAAGAAGTACCAAAAAAGACCGGGTGAGGTGGGACGAAAATAAAACCCGGAACGCGACCTACCAACTGAGACATTAGGAGTAGAGATATTAACAAAAGTGCAGATCCTGTCCCACTCTTCACTTTTTGATAAAAAACTTCCGAATAGCAATCTTGGTGAGTGATCTCGACCGGGTTCGATCGGCATGGCGTGACGTTCCTCCAGGAGTGGGTGCTGAGAGGAAGGATGGCAAACCTCCATTGTCAATCGGCCGGAGCTGCATCGTCATTTGGATCAGAGCATGGACGAAATCGAGATGGTAGAGGTTGAGGAATTTATAGGACGTGAGGGTTTATGGTGGGCATCACGAGAACTCACCCATATCTTGGGAGACGGCAGAGCCGAGGTGCAGTCGTGTTCGTGCTTCAGGGGCTGCCACGTGCTGTCCTCGCCGCCATCGCCTGTCGATGCCACTTCAGCGCCACGAGCATGGGACTGAGGGACGAAGGGAAGAGAAGGGAAGGAAGCGAGCTAATGACGTACCTATGTTTGGTATGTAATACCCTCCATTAAGAATAGATATTTTCTTAAAATCGATTATTTTGTTTTCTAATTAATGTGATTGAGCAATTTAAGGTAAGGTTAATTAATTTAGATTTGATATTTAAAGATTGATCGTGATTGATTCTTTCACATAAAGACATTACTAAAAATAACTTGCACCAGCATGGAAAGTTATGATCCGTTAAGATTTTTTTCGTGTGAGAGGGTGACGCGAAACTAAACCGGTGAGGTGGGGGAGGGACGAAAAAAAACCAGCGAAATAAAACGGGTGGGAGGTGTGAGGAAGTACCAAAGAAGTACCAAAAAAGACCGGATGAGGTGGGACGAAAATAAAACCCGAAACGCGACCTACCAACTGAGACATTAGGAGTAGAGATCCTTAGTGCAAGATGACGCCGATGACGCACCTACCCACGCAGGAGAGCCGGATTCATGGGGAAGGAGACGAATGTAGGTGGCTGCTTTGCGTGCCTCTGGCTATCAGCAGCGCCCAAGTCCGGGCGGAGAAAATTAAAAACAAAACATCACATTTTGGGTTAGGTCATCATATAACTACCATCCGGGTTAAAAATTATAAAGAAAACCATCACAATTAGGGCAGGTGTGTAACATATTACAGTACTAGTACTTCTTTACATGTTGCTGGATGAGAGCGTACGATGCGGAGTAAAGCGTACGTCCTATTTGATTGCACAGGGCACAATAATGTAAAATCATCTTTCCTTTCGACGGAAGAATGATCGATCCATGATCAACAGCGCAGCGGCCTGTCGTAGGCGGGCGGCGAGGAGGGGCAGTTCTCGTTCATGTTGGCGTACGGCTGAATGGTGTTGTACTCCGGGAGCTCCATCTTGTACTCCCCGAGGATCTGGCAGAAGGGGAGCCCGTCCGCGTCGCCGTTGCACCACCCCGGCAGCCTCGTCCGGTTGTCCTCGAAGATCCTCAGCATGTACGCGTCCCGGATCTATAAGGGAAGAAGTAAAGCACTTGATCAGCCGAGATCAGGAGCAAACAAAGGGCAAGCAGCTTGACTGAAGCGGCCGGCACGGCACTCACGGTGAACTCCGTGACCTGGATGGACTCCGTGAAGGGAGCGAACACCCCGGCCGCCTTGAACATTGCCAGGATGAAGGCGACGCAGGTCGTTGACTTGCCGTCGCTGTACTCCCACTCGTCCTGCTCCGGTATGGTCAGCAGCTGGTTGAAAGACATGCCCCGTCGCTCCGTCTCGCTGATGATGCCATGGAGGTCAAGTTGCTACACGGACGGGATGAAGAACATCATCATCATATACTTGCTGTCAATTTCTCAGTCCTCGGTTCCAATATGAAGTGAAGTTTATTGCAAGATATAGTTATAACAACCTCGGTCCCAAGTCGCTTATTAAGAGCCTCGTTCCACATGTTGGAAGCATAGTGTGGTTGTAATCTGGTCCACATCGACATAGCAGCCATTACCTGAAAACAGAATGTATAAGATGAACAGACGAAACCAACATGACAGAAGCCTTAACATATGGAATCAACTGCTCTACAACAACAACAAAGCCTTTAGTCCAAAACAAGTCGGGGTAGGCTAGAGCTGAAACCCATAAGATCTCGCGACCAACTCATGGTTCTAGCA